ATGAAACTTACCTGAAAAAAAAATAAGTTAACAATTTTCATATTTAATATTTTTACAAATAGAAACAGAAATTAGAATATATAATAATAAATATTTAACAAAAATCTTATTTCAATAATCTTGATTAAGTACATATAATAGAAAATATAATATTTTCAATAGTTCTCTTTAGTATTATAATATAGCATATCCCAATTTTCGATTTTGCGCAGTTACATTTCTACGTGAGGCGAACTTCAATGTGTTTTAAACTTGTTCTGTTTAAAAATATCGCGAGAATTTCTTCGAAACTTTGAAAACTTGCGTATTACAGTGGCCGTTTTCTCGTCACGTCCGTTTGGAAACCCGTCTCCCTTTGGAAAATATCGACTAGGAGTGGACTGGAATTTATTCGGACATGGCCAGGCGACCGTATTTGTCCAGTTTTAAACGCGACAGGAAGGCAAATGACCGGCCAAAACGGGTAATTCGTTTTTTTTTCCTTTCCGAACTCCCTACCGTCCCGTTTTACAAGTATCAGACTTTTAAAGATAATCTGAATATACAGAGTGATTCACCGCCGTAGGTTAGACGTTTATGAAAAACGGATTATAGATGATTGTTTGGAAATTTGTTTTTGGAGTTTTACGTAAAGGCATATGCTCTATCTATCTAAAATATTTTCAGCTTTACAGAGTCACTGCTTTATCTCAAAATTAGTAGCACCTTTGTTATTTCAAATGGCCGGTATATTATTACATTTTTTGCAACTATTTTCATTTTCCATATTTTTTTCTATTATACTATCTCCCTATTATACTATCCCATTCTCTTACAGTTTTGGAGATGTAGAATGTAGAATGAGTAAGATGGGAAACTAATCACCGCGACCTTAAAGAATTAGTTCTGAGTTATAGCCTAGTCTATAATTCATCATACATGGGGATCTTCCATAGAGGGGAACATCCTCCTTTGATGTTCCCTTAACTTAAGATAACAGATGTTCTTCCTCCGATGATTGAACATCTACCTCCTTAGAGGGTGTACACCCTTCCGCGGTTGGGGTTTAGCCCTCCGTGCCCTTCACAGTCGAGGAGCTTGTCGCTACAGACAGTAGAGAGTACCTAGTATGTCGTACAGGGTAGTATCATCCGCCATCGTTATACGTTTTGGTGCAATGCCCTCGCCACGACACTACAGCCAAGGACAAAACAATTAGATGCTCCTTAGAAGTACTAGAGGGGATTTCCTCTAGCACCTGACTTTGAGCTTCCCCACCAACAATAAGGTCCCGCATTTCCTCATGTTTAAACGATCTGAATCAACCGATTGGATATCATAGAGGAGTACTAAAAAAAAATATTTCTTCTTCAAACGTCACAAAAGTATTATTTTTTTCGATGTGATTGACAATATATAAAAGTCATTTTAACGCCTAAGCAAAATAGTACGAGAGCTAGCAACGTCGGAAAAACAAGTATTTTAAGGTGTCTGGTTCTGTGATACATCTTTTACTATGCTCTCTAGAACAGCATGCGGCCCGTCTGGCTGCCGGTAAACATTGCGTTCCCTACTGCGCATTGAAAGAAGACCCTATATTTTTATTAGTCCTTTAAATTCTAGTATTGAATATAGATCAAACATGTCTCCATAGCGCAGTGCGTAGAGTTTCCGACCACGAACCGAAGATTCAGAGTTCAAATCCGGGTCAGGTCAAAAACTTTTTTATTTTTATTTTCGTTTATATTCTGATAGTAAAGTATTAAATATTTGTTTTTTTTAATTACCCGAATTATTTAATACTTTACTATCAGAATATAAACGAAAATAAAGTAAAAAAGTCTTTGACATGACCCGGATTTGAACTCTGAATCTTCGGTTCGTGAATTGGTCGGAAACTCTACGTACTGCGCTATGGAGACATGTTCGATTTATATTCAATACTAAAATTTATAGGACTAAATTAATAAAAAATATAGGATCTTCTTCCGATGCGCAGTAGTAAACGCAACGGGTATCGGCAGCCAGACGGGCCGCATGCTGTTGCAGAGAGCATAGTAAAAGATATATCAAAGAGCCAGACGTCTTAAAATACTTTCTCGAAAACGGTGCTAGCTCTTAGACTACAAGAGTAATAAACAATATATATACTATTAAACTGACATAAGTGTCAAATTCAACGAGCACGTAACCATAGTTTCTCGATATATAATTACATACAAGCTATTACTTTTAAATTTTTTTTATATTGTTTTGAATGTTTGAAATTGTTTAAAAAAATATTTGTGGAGTTTAAAAAATAGCATGTTCTATTCGGAAAAAAATAACTTTTTGTGGCTCGCTTGTATGTCGTGTATATATTACACCTCCTACAAAAATTAAAAAAAAAACACGGAAATATGGTTGAATTTTTTCTAAGTCAAAAATCAGAACGCGTTTCGATGGTAATGTAATTTCGTTCATTCTTTGAGAGATTGATATTGGTAGAATTTTAATTAACGTCATACTTTTTGCTGTTTTAAAATGTTAAAGAAGCATAAAATTTATTTAGTGCAATGCTAGTTAAAGGGTCATAATAGTTATCGGAAAATGTTTCGGAAATTATTAATTTAGAAAATTATTTTATGGAAGAATTATCGGAAAATATTTTAAGAGTCTATTACGCTGTACTTTCCGGTCGCTCTCAGGAATCGGGTAAAGTGGGTGTGTGGCTGAAGGAAATATATATTTCGGAAATCTGCCAAAGGCTTAGCGCGATCCTGTCATGTTAATTCACACCCAAAATTCCAAACACACGTGCTTTGATTAAGGCTTGGTTAAGGTTTGCAGAACTTCAGCATTTGCCATAAAATAGTGAGCAATTTATTACAAAACCATATAAATTATATATCACTGTAATCACAAAACTTCAATCTATTTCCGTATTGTAACGGAATTTTAAATTATATCTTTATTTTCGAGAAAATTTAGTCCAAATATAAGGAATATTTTGTTGATGTTTGACCATCAAAATCTTAAAAATAAAGAAATTGTCTAAAAATGTGTTACAATACGGATAGAGTATAATCCTTTATCTTTAATTTCCTTCTTCATTTGTGTAAAAACAGAGTTTTACATAAAACGTTAAATGCCGAACGCTTATTTTGCTACTTTTTCGGACTAGTGAAACGGACTCTTAACAGCAAAAAATATGACTTTAAATAAAATTAATAATAACCATCTACCAAAGAATGAAATGTAAATTATACAGGGTGTCCCAGAAATAAGTGCAAATATTTTAAGGGGTGGCTGATCAAAAGAAACATATTTTCTCTTTACTATTTTTAAAATAAATTGAAAATAACCGAGTTATTTAACTTTGAAATTTTATAAAAATAATCGCAACATTTTGAGAACCGCCGGCAGATATCGCCAACTACCTCCAATTACCCGAATCAAGCCCACATCTCAGGTATTTGGACGCCCTGTGTTGCCATATGGACAAGAAAGTATATGCTTAAAAAAAGTCATAAAATCACGCCACCTGAGGAGTTTGGCAGAGATTGCAGAGGTGCCCATTGCATTTCTAATACTGTGATATTATTACAGAAAGTAAATAAAAAAAAACTTACCCAACATTAAAAAAAGATGCTTATGACAGATCGATGTAACTGTGACAGTTGGCAGTCTTTTTTGATACCCACTTAATTAAAATACACTTCACTGTGCTGCTTTACTTGTACATGCTATTATAATAACTACTAAAATAACAGTCCCAAATTTTTAACACATTCTTTCCATATAGGCTTAATCACAATTTGAACCACTGATTTACAAAACACCCTGAAAAACGCACATTACTTTGTATACCTTTCTGAATGAATAAATGTTGAGGATTATTGTCTCTTATCGTCACTTTACGAACTACTTTCAATCTAAGAAAATACATGTTTCACTCAACAATTTTAAATACGTATTTTGTTTTTTCGCAATTTTTTCGATGTATTTCAAGAATTTCATTGACAGCTGAACCGTCTGCCAAGAGTGCCGCGGTCAACTTAGCTCCTTAGCTCCTTTGAGGCGCCGCGCCGTCGTGGCGGGCTTGCGTCATACGATGTTAAGCAACGTTGCCGTAGTTTCAACAATTTCAAATTCAAGACACTCGAAGCAATCAAATTCTTATTAAATTTTAAAAATAAAACAGAAAAACATGAAAGGAAACAAACAAAACACAAATGAATAGATTATTGATAAGGTCATAAAAAAGAAATTTCTAAAATGTTTATCGTAATTCAGAATTCAATATATCGAAAACAGCCCGAAGAATATTCCTAATTTTTTGAGTAGATTTTTGCCTATGAATTTATAAATGAAGAATTTTTACTATGTAGAATGTGGATAACATAGGAGGTTGCAACACTGCAAGGTTTAGATACACCGTAGAGAAATCTCAGGTGAATAAACAAGTGGCACTAAAAAGTTTTTTCAAATTTTCCGGAAAATGTTGAGATGAACCGCCTATTTAAAAATAGACATATTTATTTAAATTCAAAACATTCATTTTTAAGACACTCTGTATACATAAACAAAATTATTGATTTTTAAAAATATTATTCACAAACTAGGGAGAGGAAAATCAGGCGACGAACAGAGGTGATGTTTGTTAGATAATAGCTTCTAGACTACCATTCGAGACGCATTGATATTATTTTGGTTCTTGAGTTTTGTGACAAAGAATGTTATTAAAGGTAAAGTAAATGTTTTCTCATTATTTATCTAATGTTAACTAAATCATATTATTTTGTTTTCTTGTTGTAATTCTGTTCTGAAGCATTTCTTTATTTATTTGATCTGACAAAGACAATATATAACATGTGTATGCATTTAATGGAATCTATTTATGCTGTAAATAATTTCAGTTTAAAAGTAATCTAAATAAAATCGTTTACTGTTCCTTCGTGTCGATGTTTGTGGTTTGTGAGAATAAGAGCCTTGTTGAGTGGACTAACAATTTTCGACCTGATATATGTTGGAATTTTCAGATCTCAGCACTTTTGTCTTATTAAAGTTTATGTTCAGTCCTACCTTTGTAGCTGATAGGTGTAATTCATTAAACATTTTATCCAGTTCTGTGATGTTGCTACCTATTAGAATTATATCATCTGCAAATCTGAGGTGGTCTAGTCTGATACCATCTACGTTAATGCCCTTGGTGTACCATTCCAGTAGTGATGATGCTTTGGAACAGGATCTGTTATTTTCGAAACAAGTTTGTTTTGGAACTGGCTTGGAACAGGTTCACGTGCCATCCTCTAACAGTCCCAGTTTCAAGTGTTCCAGCTGTTTCAAAACACTGCGATACAAATTAGCATAGAAAAATAAATATAAAGAGGAATGTAACTGGAATTTTTCATGTGGTTTGAGGCTTGGAACAGTTTGGGACTTGGAACAGTTTGAGACGTGAAACAGTTTAGGACTTGGAACAGTTTGTTCCAAGTCCAGGTTTCAAAGAAACAGGAAGAACCGAAACAGAATGACGGTATTAATTTAAGTTTTGAAACAGTTTGGAACCGGAACAGGTTTCTTGGAACAGGAATCTTTAGCAACTGGAACAGGTTGTACCTCTTATTAAAAAATCGCTGTTCCGGCCATGACTACATTCCAATTCTTTAATCTCTTCTAGAGCTAAAGTAAACAGTTTAAGTGGCATGTAGAATGTAGAATGTTTAGGATGGGGGTGAATCACTGCGACCTTACAGATCTATTGTGCGTTCCCCTTTCTTGAGTTATAACGAGTTATAACTCATCATAGAGTTTCAGGGCTTTAACAAAAGCCAGTATCTGAGACGGATCCACAGAGGCCAGCTCTCCATCCTCTACATCAGCCTTACCAAAGTTCATGGCACGAATAGTCGTCGTCTCGGCGCACTCAGTGATAAGGTATTCTGGTGTTTCCCCACAGAATCTGCATTCGCCGTTGTTTCTCAGCTTCAGCCTACTGAAGGATCTTTTTAGAGTGTCTTAGACCGTTGGAGGACACCCATTCTTGGAACAGATATCTTTTGCAACTGGAACAGGTTGTACCTGTTATTAAAAAATCGCTGTTCTGGCCATGACTACATTCCAGTTTTTTGAATCTCTTCTAGAGCTAAAGTAAACAGTTTAGGTGACATAATATCTCCCTGTTTCACACCCCTCTCTAATACTATTCTGTTGTTTGTAGTTGTTGCATCTAATCTAACGTGCATTGTTGCTTCCTGGTAAATATTTTAAATGATTTGAGTATATCTTAAGTCTATTCTTGCATTTTGTAGAGCTGCTAATATTGACCATATTTTAACGGTGTCGAAAGCCTTTTGAAATGGGGAAGGGTTGAAATGATTCGTTATCAATGCCTAGAAAGCGGAGCTAGGCGGAGCGGATGATAGGCAACAGAGTGTAAATAATTGTTAACTCGCTTATACAAAAAAATATAAACAGCAATTTTTCATTATCATGTGGGGAATTGTCAAGACTCATTTCTTTTCTTCTGTAACTCAATCCGAGTCATGCCATTCAATGGAAGTGTCAATCAATAATTCGATTCGCACTTAATGCTAATAAAATTGCTATAAAATCCTGTAAATCCGTTTATTACTCTTACGACCATCTCTATTACGCTTTACCGCATAATAAAGACGTCTATTATGACGATTTTTATTACTGTATCATTAAGATTAATCTCCTGGTGTAAACCAACCTTTGCAGATATAAATTTTATAGCGGGTAGAACAATAATAAAATTAATTTTATCTGCTTTTTGATTTTTTTGTAGTTCATAAAGAAAGTGTTAATAAGTATAGTATATTTCTCTAATATTTATTAGTGGACATACATCTTCATTTACAGTTGATCTTGTGAAAAATATCAAGTTAGAAGATAATGTGTACATTAGGTACTAACTTTGATGTTGACTGGTATGGTAAACTTAAGTAACACCAATTTTATAGTAGACTGGCCCTTTTCTCTGAATTTTGACATTACTCAAAATTTCCTAGATAATGATATGGTATGGTAATGATGAGCTGCCTCCCTCACTGTGGCAGCTCTATGACTCTGTTTCCTATGAAGGTGCAATTTGCCAGCGCATTAGTTTTGATTGCAGGCCGTCTGACTTTTCGTCATGCTGCAATCATGGTGGGTTCATACAGCCAAATAAAATAAAATAAGAATAAAATAAAATAAAATAAGAAAGTTGGTTATATGGGATACCGTACATGCGTTCATACAGCCAAATAAAATAACAAATAAAATAAGAAGTCTTTATCTTTTAACTTCTTGTTTTATTTTATGTGAAAACGGCTTGGCGCACGCTTAATTCTAACCTACAAATATTTTCAGTTTGGATTTAATTTATTTTATAATTTCACATAAGTAAAATGTATAATATAGTAGGCAACGAATAAATAAATATACTATAAATAGTAAAATTACTATAAACAATCTAAAAGTTAACTTTTATCCAGCTTCATCGTACTGCGCATGAGCAAATATATATTTCTTATTTTATTTTATTTGACTGTATGAACGCACACAAATAAGAATTCCTTATTTCTTATTTTATTTTATTCTTATTTTATTTTATTTGGCTGTATGAACCCACCTTCAGTCTTCCTAGATAATGTCATACTTTTAACCTAACCTAACCTAACCTAACCACGGCATATAAATCACACGGCAGGCCGACTCGCTTAGGCGGGAACGCTACGCGCATATCCTTGCGCACGCCGCCATTATGGATGCCAGCATCAGAAATTAACCAGTGTCGTAGTCAGTTGTAGTTTTTGTCATCGACAACAAACACTTATGGCAGCTTTGAGTCAGTAGCGAGCGGGTTAATTTATTTCGTTCTTTTCTTGAGTGATATATTTTGTTTTTTTATTTTTGTTTATTGTGTGATATATTTGGTTTTTGTAGTTTTATTTTTGTTTTTCTGGACATTTTTAGTATAACAGTGGTTTGGTAGTGTATTATATTATATCACTTATTAATAAAATATCGTCCATACCAATATTTTTAAGTTTAATAATTGCGTCAAATACAATTTCCTTCAAATGTATACTTGGGCATGTAGTGTAAAAAATAAGCTAGGGATTGCTTCCAATTGGTAAATATACTACTTACCACAACATTAGACACCCGAGCTGGTTTAAACTCTCTGCTCCCCTTCTCCTGGTCCTTAAAACCTACAATATTATCACGACCACTATTATAAAATAAATTGCACTTGGTATTCATATCATCAATACATCCAACACAATATCAATTAAGTTCATCCGGTTCATCGAAACTTTCAACTTTTCTTTTTAGAGTCTCAAATACACTAAGATTTTCTAAGCCAGGTTTGATATCGATGTCATATATCATTTTCTTAGTGTCTCTGGGTCTCTGAACGTGGTAGACAAAATAGATTTGTCAAGAGCATCTTGTATATTTTTGGTACGGAAAAGTATATCGCCAAACATTTATATTTAAATTCATCAGTTACTTTTCTTCCTTCAGCTGATTTGTTAATTTGTGCAACTTGAATATTAACAAAATTTGCTATGTCCATTGATGGACATAATTTGTACGTAGCCTCTTTATATTGTTCAATAGATATTTTATTGGGTATTTCTATAATTCTTGTTTTGTAACTGCTGGCATGCTTTTAAATTTTAAATTGTATATTCTCTACAGTTAAATGTTTAATTGATTTTTTCATTTTTACTTTTGGAGGAGTATGCGCGGTTAACGATTCATTTGTTTAGACAAAAGTATTGTGTAAATAAAATTCAGTTTCAGTCAATTACAGTATTTTTTTTGAATACGACCCTATCTATCAATAGTTATTTTAGTTCTGGGAAATTTTTTGATACGTTTTAATCCGGCCCTGACTCGGCAGCCATAATGGCGTTTTCAAGGTCAAATTTTATAGAAATTTTAAACAATGGGATCTAGGGAGAGTTAGCCTGCCGTGTGATTTATATGCCGTGACCTAACCTTAACGAGGCCGTTCCTTAAAAAATATATATTTTCAGTAGCGAAAAACCTAGCCGTTTTCAAGAATATTTTGTATATTTAAAAACAGTTTCTACCATAGGCTGCAGTATTGCTGTATTACTAATTATTAAAAGATAAATAAAAAACATTGTCAATACGAAAGAGGAGAGCTGCCATGCCAACATTGTTTTAAAATTTACACTTCTTCTGTAAATTTACTATTTTTTAATCTATTTAGCGGCAATGCTGCTAGTGGATCCACCATTTTATTTTACAAAAATACTTTCAGAATCTTCTTCTTCTTTACGTGCCGTCTCTTTCGTGGAGGTTGGCGATCACATTGGCAAAATCTTCACGATTCTCGGCTTTCCTTATGAGTTCTTCAAAAGTTAGGTGACTCCAGTTTGTGATGTTTTTCAACCAAGATAGTTTCTTCCTGCCGAGACCTCTCTTTCCTTCAATCTTACCCTTAACTATCAATTGTAAGACGTGGTATTTTTCATTTCTCAATATATGCCCTAAGTATGATGTTTTCCTTATTTTTATTATATTGAGCAATTCTCTTTCTCTGCCTATTCTGTTGTAGACTTCGGTATTTGTGATATGGGCTATCCATGGAATTTTAAGCATTCTTCGAGATATCCATGTTTCGAACGATTCGAGGCGATTCATCTCTTGAACTTTTAGTATCCATGTTTCTGCTCCGTATAATAGGATTGACCAAATATAACACTTAACGAGCCTAGTTCTCAACTCAAGGTCCAATCTGGGGTGCTGGAAGACGTTCTTCATTTTTAAAAATGCATTTCTCGCTTGTTCTATTCTGGTTTTTTATTTCCACGTCGTTATTCAAGGTCTTAACTATCCAGGACCCAAAATATTTGAACTTGTAGACTGGTTCTAAGGTATTGCCCTCTAATTTATCTCAGAATCTATAGACACAAAAATCCAATCGTTGCAGGATCAATTAAAGAGCTCCACTATATACTCACTTAACAGTCCCCAACTCAATCTAGCCCCGATGATGTCCAACGATTGCTTGCCCAACAAAACCTAACTAACAAACTTGTCTGAACAATCTAATTCCATGCTTCTAAGTATCTGCAAAATATTTCGAATTCTTAACAAACGAAGATGTTTTTCCTATTAATGGTTAGACAATTTGAAGGAAAAATCTACATAAACGCTAGTTGCTGAATCTCTTGAACCATTAGTGAAGTGGCAAACCATATTTCTCAGTTTTTGATAGTATATAAAAAAGTGGTAGCTTACTACAACGTGATATTAGTGATGTTCTGATATTTTCAGTGATTGGATTTAGAAAAGCGTCCGGGAAACCTGACCGCAAAACAA